CAAGTGAGGTCCATGTACAGCCAGGGGGTCCAGCATCTGTCTCTTATACACATCTAGATGTGTATAAGAGACAGCACACACACACACAGGCACACACACACATAGGCATAGGGCAGACAGACGGCAGATGATTCTTGTCTCAGTGGCTCAGGATATACACTCAGAACAGACTCAGCAGACAGAACCATGAAGGTGGGCATTTGATGACATAGAGGAAAGGTAGATGATGATTTACAGCCTGTTCAGAGCCCTGCCGGGCTGGCAATTGCGAACTTTGTCTGCTGAATCTTGCAATAATCCGCGGTGGGGCTGAGTGGGATCGTGTACCCACAGTGTTTTTTCGGAAATTCTGAATCAGACCCATTCTGATACACATTTTTGAATTTTTCAGGGAAGCAGAACAATGTCATACTAGAGGGCAACTTCACACAGGGTTTCGCTCCACTACTCTAGACTCGCGATAAATACATTTGTGAGTTGGGCATCGCTCCTCGAATGCTAGACTTGAACTCACGAAGCTCCCATCTAGAGTTGACATGTCAGAAAGTACTCGGTGAAGGAACTCACTGAACATCTACATTTTATGAACATGTAGATTTTAGAGTGCACTGCCTGCAAGCGGCCATTTTTCTAGTGTGGCCCGTCAAAACCCTGGGCCCTGGTGCTGCCTCGTTTTTGTAGAGTCCACCTGCAGTGGAGTCCAGGTGGACAAAGGAGTAGTTTAGGTGTCTTGTAGCTGTATCCCATAGTACTCCTGAAATTCTGGAGTCCTAGAGCAAGTGGAGACTGTGGAGCGAGGTAGGGAATTTCGAGGGTCACGAGGGTCTGACAGCTCTCAAACTACTGTCGAAAATTTTCGAGAGTCGAGAGTAGTGGAGCGAGACCCACAGTGTCATGTTCAACTGAAACACTTGATTGCGGTGTAAAAAAAAAAAGAAGCAGTTGATTGAGGTATTGTGCGAACGACCGGGAATCAAGTCGTATAAACACGTCGATGTGACGTCGATGTCCATTGAAAACTGTTACACTGGCCAGAACAGGACCCCGTGATGGCATATAGGTTCGTGAATAGCACAGCCAGCACACCGATAAACTGCATCGGCACGGCTAGGGAGTATACATCACGCACTAATGGACTCGTGTTTCAGCAGTACAATGTCATGCTCTGAAACAGTGACCGACTGGTGTGCCTCAGAGATGAAATTACCGAGGTGCAGTTTACCGAGCAGTAACAAAAGTTACTTTGATACTTTGACTCAGGCTGCAAATAAGTATATTGGTTAGAGTAGGCGCTCAGCCGCGCTCTGTAAGTTGCACCACGGTAGCTTCGTCACTTTGACCCCAAGTCATTTGAGTCTGTAAATAGCACAGCAGTAACAAAAGTGACTTTGACCTCACTTTGACCCAAGCTGGCAATTGAGTGTGTAAATAATTGCAGTATGGGGCAAGATACAGTTGGCAATTGCAGTTTGGGCAATGTATACAACCCAGCTTTCTGGTCAGGTAGGGTGCCCGAAGTGCAATAGCAAACTGTATCTTGCCCCATATAGTGAAAGTATAAGTGGGTTTTGTGACTCCCGCGTAGTTACCCCTTTGATAATCCCACGGACGACATAGCATCTGCGTATATTGGTATCAAAAGTATCGGTCAGCACGACAGAGCAACCTATTCCGCGCTTAAAACCTGTTACGTGACGACTATGTTGCACACCTAATACCCACATCACAGGATCTATGGTTCATTGTATAAGCTATCAAATTGCCAGCCAACCTCAACATCCACTGATGCAAAATTCCACGTCCAATCGACTTCACTTGCGCGAATTCAGTTCTCTCTTTTTTTTTTTTTTTCCGGACTCCCCAATCCTTTCAACCTAGTAGGTCAGCACATGCATCAACATATCCAACAGCCCATTCCGTAACACTCGAAGAAAAGACATATGCCTGTGTGTGCGCTGTCTCTTATACACATCTAGATGTGTATAAGAGACAGGTCTACTTGAGGCACACTAAGTAAACATTTGCGC